TGGGTTGAAATCTGGTCCCTCCTTACTCCTGGGGTTTTTACACAATGGTTACCAATGTTTGGTGTGGAATAAGGCAGTTTGGGACCCAACCTCTAGAACTTGTTAAATACAGTGCCCATAGGTTCACATATATGGCAGTGCCCTGGCTACAAGTTACCATTGGATTTTTGCAAAATTTCACTTTTCAGGGCACTTTTATAACTTGTTTGTGGTAGTTAGATGGTTTTATATCAACTAGACAATTCTGGCTAGGGCTGGAGTCAGATCTGTCAATCACATTATAACCTAAGGGTGTCTCCTTGGGATGTGGCCTTCTCAAGGAGGACTCTGGGACCCTTCTCCCCCCTCTCCCCTTTCACCCCCTGCTTGTTGTTACTGATGCACTGACCTGAGAGTTGCTGGAGCCCTGCCATGTTTTCACCGACCTTGGATCCACATGACTCTGCACCCGCCACCCTGTGATTTTCCTGCATTCTACAACATCGAACGTGACTTATGAACTAGTAACTTATGGACTTGAGTTTGCCTGGGCTAGGATGCTTTCTTGCTATCTAATGACTTCTTTATATAAAGCTCTTTCTTACACATATATGAGAGTTGTCACTTGATTTGTTTCTCTGATTAGTCAACCCAGCCTAATGTATGGTTCTTCCCACTTCTCTCAACACAGAACCAGATCTCAATATGTAACCCAAGACTTGCTGAAATATAGATTTTGTCACTTTCATTAAGGTTTTTGATAATCCCTGAAGGTCAACAGGAACATCTAAGCCAGTTCTCTCTCAGGTCCCAACACTACCCTGTTTGAAAGGCTCTTACTGTCTGTTCCCCCAGTAGTTTGGGTCTTGACCTTGCTGCATCTTTCAGGGTTTCCACCCTACACCTCCTTTGTCAAGGCAGATGCCTCTTTCCACCACCACTTCAGTAAGCCCAGGGGGCCCCTTCGACCTCTGCTAGAAAACCCACTTCCAATGTTTCTGCCATGGCTTGCTGATAGTAGTAGATGCCATATTTAAATATATACATTTATATATATACATATATGTATATATATACATATATGTATATATATGGCTGGGAAACAGTGCTATATTTCCCAAAGTAGAAAGTTTCCAGGGCATTGTCCCAAGACTGGGTGGAATCCATCAGTAGTGCAGGCAAACAGTCCTGGGAACAGAATGACTCATTTGAGTCATTCTTGGGACAGTCATATATATACAACAGGGCAAGAATGGTAGAGCCAGCAGATAAGGCCTCTTAGCAATATAAAATTGCTTAGTCAGCTTGTGAGAAATGTTTGAGAGGGCATTTATAGGCCTGCTGTTAGACTGCCTACATGATAAAGGCAGTCTAAATAATCGGAGTCATCGGCCCTGTGAACGTTAATTTTGGACCCACCCTCCGGCCCCATCATTATAAGTGCCTCTCATGAGCTCTAGACTATCTTTCTGCTGGTACTTCAGTGTCACACCTCTGCTATCTTGGTACTAGTACACAGAGGAGCTGGAATTCAGTTCTCTAAGGATATAATCAGAAGGCCAAGACCAGGAGGAAACAGCAGCCACCACAAACACAGACCCAGTCTGGGCTAACAAGAAAGAATGCTAGTTGGAGTCCTTGCTGCTGTCATCTAGTTACATCCTTTGCCAAGAGTCCATGGTAACCAGAAATTCTGAGCTGTGCAATAGTTATTATGCATAAGATCCACCCAAAAACTAGATACTGGGGTCATTGACAAGAAGTTCAGAAGAGCTGACATCATGTGTGTGGTTGTGAAACCATCTCTGGAAGTCCAAGAGATGGGGTGAAAAGGCCAGTAGGAAGTTTAGCCCAGGCACTGACAGCGGATGGGAGGGTGTGACCACTCATCTTCTGAGATAGGTAGAACCTGGCATCCTGAGAGTTGAAGAGACAACAATGCCTAGTGCGTCTCAAACTTCTACTGTTGAAGGCCAGCCACATCCAGACACATAATCCTGAGAATCTTTTACTTCACCCAGTTCTCCTAATCTCATTTTGAGTCGAACCCTATCAGCAAATGAAGGTCTGAAACATTTACTCCATCCACATCATTATGATCCACTCTACTTTGAAGAGGCGGCTCTTTCTTGGTTGAATTTTGAGTGCCGTCTAGCCCAAAGGGCTCACCTTCCAGCACTCTATCTGACAACGGTCCACTGCTATGCACAGATTTATTTGTGGCTAACCCCTCAGCCATGGAAAACAATTTCATTCTTCTCAAAATGAGAATAGCTGCAAACATCCATTGCTCACTGGAACATGAAATGCATAAAGTGTGAATCTAGAAAAATTAGAAGTCATCAAAAATGAAATGGAATCCTCGAAAATCAATACCCTAGGCATTATTAAACCAAAACTGGCAGGTTGGCTATTCTGAATCAGACAAACATATGGTTTACTATACTGGAAATGATAAACTCAAGAGGAATGTCATCACATTCATCATCAAAAAAGAACAATTTGAGATGTATCTTGAAATATAATGCTGTTTGTGATCGGAAAAGATTTATATGCCTACAAGAAATTTAATTAGTGTAACTATTATTAAAATATATGCACCAACCACTAAAGCTAGTAAGAAAGAAATTAAAGAATTCTACCAACTTATTCCATCTGAAATGGATCATATATGTAATCAAGATGTACTCACAAGTATTGGCAACTGAAATGCAAAGATTAGAAACAAGTAGGGACAGTAGTTGGCAAACATGACCATAGTGATAGAAATGAAGCTTAAAACTGTATGATAGAATTTTGCAAGACCAACAGCTTCATTGTAAATACCTTTTTAGAACAACATAAATGGTGACTATGCATGTGGACCTCACAAAAAAAAAAAAAAAAGAATCGAACTGAATACATTTGCAGGAAGAGATGAAGAAGAAGCTCATTGTAAGAAGCCAAAATGACCCCAGGGGCCAGCTGTGGACACAGACCATCAATTACCCATATGTAAATTCAATCTAAAGTTGAACTTCTTCCTTCAGCACCATTGGTCCTTGTTCAGATGCTCCTGAATGGCAGAATGTCAACTTGTTCTTCTGGTACAGTGACTCTGTATTCTTTCCATCTCCTCTGGAGACTTTCTGCAGCAATCATTCCATATTTTGCCCATAGAATCTTCCATTATTGCAACTTGAGGCTTGAATTTTTAAATTTTTTTTTCAGTTCTTTCAGTTTAAGATATGCTGAACATGTTTTTCTTTTTTGGTTTTCTAACTCTAGATCTTTGCATAATATTTTTACTTTGTCTTTTTGATCTGCCCTTAAAATTTTTCTATTCAGCTCTTTGACTTCATCATTTCTTCCATATGCCTTAGCCACTCTATGATCAAGAGCAAGTTTCAGAGTCTCTTTGACATCCACTTTGATCTGTTCTTCCGTTCCTGTCTTTTTAGTGACCTTTGGCTCTCTTCATTGATGATGTTCGTTATGTCATCCCATAGCTCATCGGGTCATCTATCACTAGTGCTCAGGGCAGCAAATTTGTTCTTAAGATTCAGGTGGGTTATCCTCAAGCTCATATTCTGGCTCTCATGGACTTGGTTTAATTGTCTTCCTCGTCAATCTGAACTTACATATGCGCAAGTGTGAATACTTATCACATATGGAATCCCCAACATAGCTTTATTTTATCGAGGACACCATCCCATGAAAATGCACAATTATGACTCTTGTATCAGCAAAACATCTTCTTTGAAACATTAGCTCTTTCAGCATTGTGATGTAATATGTAATCAATCCACATCTTTGTCCCTCAAGCTGCTCCTTCGTAAAAACTCTGAGTACAATTTTCTGCCCTCCTGGTTTGTATTTTCAGAAAAAGTCCAAATGACTCGGATTTACACTAGGAATGTTCTACAAACTTCTGCAGAATACCAAAAAATGGGGTGACTTAGCAACTACTCAGTTAAATGAAATCAATTTTCTTTCCTTTTGTACATTATTCCAAAGAATCCAAAAGACCAATGTATTGGAGTAGATAGCCAATTCTGATGATCATTTTGGATGAAAACTTTTGAAGTCTATTTTAAACCTATTTGCAAAATCATTTTCATAGAATCAAATCAACTAATCAAATGTGCAATCTGGATTAGACTTTAGATCCAAATTTGTGGGAAAAGGAAGAGCTAAAAAGGATATAACTGAGATAAATGGCAAAATAAGAACAAGATCTGTTGGTAAGTCCATAAAATTGTATCAGTGTGAATGTCTTGATTTTGATCACTGTGCTGTTGGCATAGTCCCCAGAGAAAGACACCACGGTTGGTAGAGAGGCAGTGAGACACAGGAAGGGCCTCAAGGACATGGATGGACACCGTGGCTGCAACAATGGCCGAGAGCACAGGAACCATTGTGAGAATGGCGCGGGACCAGGTAGTGTTTCCTTCTGTTGTGCAGCGTCCTTATAGGTTGGAACCGACTCAAGGGCACCCAACAACACCAACACTGTTGGTGCAGATGAGACTGTCCTCCCTCCCTCTCAGGAAATACACAATTTGAAAAAATGCTGGAGACTTTTTGCCTGCAACTTCTTCTCAAATAGATCTGAACACAATATGGAACATATACTTATCAAAAGAAAATGATGGCGGAAATGTGATACAAGTTTGGACTCTGAGTACATGGCAGGGGAGTTATTTGTACTATTCAATCTTTTCTGGAAGTCAGAAGTAATTTCAAAATAAAAACTTACCAAAAATGTTTAAAGCTCATTTTAATAGTCAGTCAAGGTGATCCTATACTCTAAAACAAGGCCAAATGAAATGATATAATAAATTGTTTATCTCGGTTAATTTTATTATATTAGCCTGGTATTATTAACCACAAAAATACGATTTGAGTGTTCTTTCATTATAAAAATCATCTCCTCACGCTTAAAGATCAGATATCTTAATATCCATTAACAATATAAGACACCAAATACTATAAAAATTAGAGTACAAGTCATGAATCACGCATAGAAGAGTTTGTCATACCTTGAACTGCTGTTGATCTCTACCCAGCCCAGTTTCCATGACACATGAAGCAAAAGTCCACCAATTAACGTCTGCCACCTGCAACAAGCACCGTTGTGAGTTTGAGTGGAGTGCTCTGTGCTCCAACACTGCAAAGCCCCAGTGGGTGTGCTGACCGACACGAGCATATACATTCAATCCCGTTTAAAACTCCTCTCTCTCTCCTAATTATGACCCCATTCTCCATCTCTCTCCTTAGAAGTCTTTACTGTCCTCCTGACTCGATTTGTTCTACTGAGTGTTGGTACTGATGTTCTCTTCTTACTCTAGACTTTTCCTGAATACTCTTACCCAAAGTCACTGCTTTTCCCACTGCTGGACGGATAATTCCCAAATTCCTGTGCTCACCCTGATATCCCACAAGCTCCCCATTTTAACATAGCTAAAACATTCACTTGAACTTCCCCCCTCCCCATCCTGATCACCCACCTAAGATCCTTAGTCACTCTGATGACAAATGTGACAATGGGGTTTTTTAAAAACTTGGGAGCATCCATCTAAAGTGCAACTATTGGTCTCTCCCCACACAGCGCAAAGAAGAGGAAGAAAATCAGAGACGCAGAGAAATAATTAGGCTAAAGGACTAAAGGACCATGTGAACCTCAGTCTCTACAACCCAGAGACCAAAAGAACTAGATGGTACAGGGCTACAATTAGCACCCTCTCTGAAAGAGATTGCACTAGAAGATCCTAGCTAGAGTAAGGGGAAAATGTGAAGCAAAACTCAAAATCGTAAAAAAGACAGAGTTCACCCACTGAATAGAGACTGACAGATCCCCTGAAACTATGACCCTTGGCCCTTTCAGGCCTGGTTTGAAACCACCCCTGTGCCTCAGATGTTAGCAAAACAATAGGCAGATATATGAGAACAAAAAACAAATCTAGGTGGGGGACCGAAAACAATCTATCTTGAAGGAAATACTGCCAAACTGTCCCTTAGAACCAAAGATGGTGAAACTTCGTCTCAGTACTTCGGGGACATGGTAGCAGCAGCGACCACTCCCAGGGAAAGGACACCATGCTCGGTAAAGCAGAAGATCAGCCAAAAACGGAAGACCTTCAATGAGATGTCTTACCACTTACCACAGAGGCTGCAACAATGGGCTTAAACATAATAACAACTACAAGGACGGTATAAGACGGGGCGGTGTTTCATTCTGCTGTACCAAGAAAGAGGCACTATGATGGGTCCCTAGCAACAACAACAACGATGCTGGCTGGACATTTCCTACAAATGTGTGCAAAAAACATAAGCAATACTCACCCTTGGAATAATGTAGGGTAAGTAAATTTCAAGACAGACAGGACATACTGAAAAAGAAATACGAAATTAATTGACATTTCAAATAATAAAAGACTAGGAAGACTAAATAATCAAAAAGATTCTTGTTGAAGAACGATATAAATGCGCTCTCAAGTTTAAACAAACAACACCCTGCTAGTTGCCACGGAGTCGATTCCAACTCAGGGTGACCTCGTGTGTGTGTGTGTGTGTGTGTGTGTGTGTGTGTGTGTGTGTATGCAGACCTACTTCACCGGGTTTTCAACAGCTGTGCTCTTCCAAAACAGATCGCCAGGCTTCTCTTCCAGAACCCCTGTGGATGGGTTCAAACTGCCAACAGGTCACCTAGTAATTGAGCAGTTAGCCATTGATGCCAGTTGGAGATTTCTACAAAGGGCTTTATCCCTACCCCCACACCCCAAAAGAAATCACTCACTGAGCTGTGGTGGCGCTGGGCTTATGCAATGGCTGCAATCCACAAGGCCAGTGCTTTGAAACCACCAGCGCTCCATGGAAGAAAGAACTCCTGTAAAGAGTTAGTCTCAGACACTCACAGGGGCAGTTCCACCCTGTCCCATAGTGTCACTATGAGTCAGCATTGACTGGGAGGCTGCTTCCTCAGTCACCAGAGCCTGATAGCTTTGGCTGAGGGATGGAGGAGGACACCAGGAACATACAGAAGCGCAAAGCTGGGTCTGATGTTGTAGATGCCCAAACGCTCAGCATCTTCCCAGGCCCCAGAAATGTCTGCACAGAACTGCACTACTTTCCCAGAAAACCGAACCAGCCCCTGGAAGCAATCTGTCTCACTGATAAGAGCGAGGGCCACTGTTATCTATCATCCAATTTATCCTTTAGTTCGCTTTTTCCATTCCGAGGATTTTTTCCCTAAGCAATCCAACCTGGTTGCCTTAACATTGTTGCTATTATTTTGGCATCTTAAGGATTTTCTTTTTTAACCATCTAAGGCCAACCTGTATTTCTATTTTGTCTTCTGACCAAACTCAAAGCACTTCATAAGGGGTGGCTACGTGTGTTAAAATCTTCTGCGTATCTTTTTCCATTTTCTTTACTATTGAACACTTTAAAAAATATTTAAACTCTAAAAGCATTAGATCCTTTCAAGCAAAGACTATCCTGACCCTTAACATGATTTAGGACACAATGTAATGGACTGGCATTGGACAAGTTCACATGCATCTCCCCGCAGAGGACCACCTCCACAGCTTTTCCGTTGTGTGAGTTCCCGGATGCCATGGGTGTGGTGAACTGCCTGTGTGCCACTGTCTACCTGTCCAGACATGGGCTTTCATTCTTCTCTGGGGGATGCAGAGAAGTAGGTGAAGGGAGATGTTGGACAGGGCAAAATATAACAAAATAATTTATAAATTATCAAGGGTTCATGAGGGAGTGGGGAACGGGGAGGGAAAAGAAACATGAGCTGATGCCGGGGCTTAGGTGGAGAGCAAATGTTTTGAGAATGATGAGGGTAATAAATGTATAAATGTGCTTTACACAATTGATGTATGTATGGATTGTGATAAGAGTTGTATGAGCCCCTAATAAAATGATTAAAAATAGAGTAAATACACAACAGCTACAAATACCAGACCACAAATGCAAATGCATATTCAGAGGGAGCATAAATGTCTGTGAACTAAATGCAATATGCCTTATGTGAACTATATGCCTGCTGAGGTTTTGCTTAGACACACATCTGTTTGTTTATGATCAATACCTTGGCTTGTGGGCTTTCAAAAAAGATGCATTATCTTGCCCCTTCAGAAGATTATATGGAAATTTAAAAAGAGGTAATACATTATCAATATATCCATCACGTTAGCCAAATGAGAACAGTTACATGAAAGAGACAGCACTTCACAAATTCACATATTCCAGAGCTGGTGGCAAAAGATCAAGATTCTACTTTCTTTTAGTTTAGCTAACTGTCCGGTGAGGAAAAAAACAAATCTGTTCAAAGAGAATTACTGTCTCATGCAACGAGCAAAAGACTGTCTGATTGTCTTTCTTCCCTCCCTCTCTCTCGTCTTTTATTCCAGAGTAACTACCACATGACTGCCATGCATACTCATGACCAATAAATTTAGGCACAGGTCCAGGAGCAGGGAACACACAGCCTGCAGACGACCCAACCAAACTCACTGCCCTTGAGTCAATGCTGACTCATAGTGACCCTATAGGTCAGGGTTTGTGGGTTTCCAAGACTATAACTCTTTATGGGCATAGAAAGACCCGCACTTGGCCATATAAGGCCAGAGAACTCATCGATACTAGCTAACATGACATGCATCACCAAAGAGAGGCAGTTCTAGCCATCACATTAGGGTGAGTTAATTCAGTGTTTCACCATGTATAACGGCCAAATTTTTAAGTTGATATTTGTGTATGGCCCATGAGTGCTGTAAGAAGTATCCAAATGGCTCTTGGAAGGGAAAAAAATGATGTTAGAAGTATCCAAATGGCCCTTGGGAGACAAAAAGGTTCCCTATCCCCATCCAACCTCGTGGCAAGCATTATTTTCAGTACTCCTCACCAAGACCCTTTGAAAGGGCCTTTTATCCCATTTTAAAGATTAAGAAACTTGGATTTACACAAATTAAGGTACCACAGCCAAGTAGGTGGATCTAGGGTGCCAAGTCATCACTGCTTCCCAGCAAGGCTGTACCAACCAATCTTCAAAGGCCATCACCAGAAGTAACATCAACTAGAGGGGAGGCTCAGGAGCTTCCTCTGAATAGAATGAGGACTGTCACTATCTCTAAAGCAGAACATGCAAGAAAGGACTGTTAACAGCTCTTTCCAAGAGCAAGAGGAGTTGGGGGAAAAGGGGTGAGCGGCAGTATCCCAGGAGGTGGTTTGGGTAGTATTAACACTGGCTTCAAAGTCCAGGACAGGAGACAATGGTTCACCTAGGTCCACTGGTCTTGGCATTTCCCAGTATGGTACTAGATCCAAGACCAACTTCCCTCTCCTAACAAGGTAAAACCATCACCAACTCTGATTTGTCCAACCTTTCTGCCTCCACACAAAAGAGTTTTGTAACATTATTTTCCATTTAAAATTTAATTTGCATTTTAAAGCTAATCCCACTAAACATTCTGAAATATACTGGGAGTGCTTGGGGTGCAGTCCTGTTAAGATAAATTCTGGGAATTAGTGGTGTGGGGGAGATAAGAGTAATCTCTATTTTCAGGCGTCTGGAACCTTGAGGGGGTCTGGAGTAGGGGGTGTGTCTAGAAAAGCAAGCGGGATGTGTTCTGATTTCTTCCCTTCAGTCCTCTTCCTTCGCAAAGGGACTGGAACCAATTGTTTTCTTCCATTTAGCAGTAGTTCACCCAAATACTAAGACACACCGCTATCAATCGAGTCCGTTTCGACCCACAGCGAAAAGTTCACCGAAATTCGCCAAAGCTCCAGTTCCCCAGGGGATGTACAAGGTGCTTCTAAAACTGGGACACCAACCAAAAAATCTGATACCCAGAGCTCCGAGCTCGGTCACTATCAGGAAGAGATAGACCGCCGGCGGCTGCATCTGTCCACGTCCGTGGGACGCGCATCCCCCACGAGCCGCGGCCTCCCGCGCCCGCCCCCTCACCTTGTTCGTGAGGTAAGAAGCGAGGTAGCAGGCACAGAAAGCGGGGCCGGCCAGGGACCTCCTCAAACACATCTGTGCCCTGGAGACCCCTTCTCGGGGAGAAGAGCGCCCACCCACTACCGCCCAGCTGAAACCGGATCTCCGCTGGAGGCGCCAGCGCGCCGGCGACCACGTGGCTTTTACCTTGACCAATCGGAGCCGGGGTTGCCCCGGGCGCCAGCCTCCTTAAAGGAGCCGCGCCCCCCAGAGCCAGCCTCCTTAAAGGAGCCGCGCCCCCAGAGCCAGCCTCCTTAAAGGAGCCGCGCCCCCAGAGCCAGCCTCCTTAAAGGAGCCGCGCCCCCAGAGCCAGCCTCCTTAAAGGAGCCGCGCCCCCAGAGCCAGCGCACTCGCGGCGATTGGGCAGGCGCCCACCCTACACCTGGGCACGCTGGGAGAGGCGAGCGGGCTTGCAGTCACGCCTCCTGTAGTGCAAAGCCCCACTGCTGTCGGGGTGATCCCGACGGATAGTGACCCAGTCTAGACTTTCTGATGCTATAAAATCAATCTTTACGGGAGCAAATGGCTTCTCTCTCCCCTTCTCCCCCACCGCCGCTAAGAAGCTGGTGTTTTTGAAGCCAGAGCTTTGCAACTTAGCAGTCCAAATCCACCCGAACTTTGAAAGTGTGACCAAGAAAGAGGAAGGAAAGCCAACTCCAAAATAATTCAAAATATCTAATTGTTAACCCGAAGAAAAACGTTAATGGTTATCTCTATAGGGTGAGACCAAAATTACCCAACCAACCGATATCCATTCCCATCGTCTAAATAGCGCTGCGATTAAGTCTTTACCGCGGGTTTGATTTCTGTAGAATAAATTCCCAACAAGGGGATTGCAAGATCACAAAGTAAATGCAGTTTTTCAATCAGTACCTCCCGATTACGGCCCACTTCCCTTTACTTGCTGCCTCTGGAAATGCTACGGGAACATGCAAAGTCCAGCAGTCAGCAAAGCCTCTGGAGTAGAACTTCTCCTGTAAGAACGAACCCATGGCCCTCCAAGTGACTCCAGTCCTCAGCAATTCTACAGGCAGAGTAGGACTGCCTCGATGGTGTCCCCAAGGCTATATGCTTCACAGAAGCAGATTCTTTCCATGGCAGAGGGGCTAGTGGGTTGGAATTACTGACCATCTTGGGCAGGGTAGAATTGCCCCCTGTGGGTTACTGAAGCTGTGTAGGGGTTACATGTTAGGCTGCTAACCAAAAGGTCTGTAGTTCAAAACCAACAACCACTCCATGGCAGAAAGACACGGCTTTCTACTCCCGGAAACAGTGACAGTCTTGGAAACTCAAAAGGCAGTTCTACCTTGTCCTGCAGGTCACTGAGTCGGAATTGACTAGACAGCACTGAGGTTTTTGTTCTGTCTGAACCCTTAGTGGGAGCAGAAAGCCTTGCCTTTCTTCACAGTTTACCTTGAGGTTAGCAACGCAACTCAAATTACTAGGACTCCTGGACCTTCTGTTAGGGACCATTGAGCCACCAGTGCTTCTGAGAGACTTCTTCCAAAACCCCATTCCTGTCAAGTCGATTTTAACTCATAACAACCCTACAGGGCAGAATAGAACTGCCCCACAGGCTTTGCAAGGCTGTAGTCTTTGTGGAAGCAGACTACCCTATCTTTTTCCTGGCAAAGTTTCAAACTGCCAGCTTTTCTGTTAGCTGCAAAATGCTTAACCACTGCACCACCTGGGTGCCTCATTTCCCCCCTGCAGAACTCTTCAATAGCTGTTACAGCAAATAACCCTTGAACTCTTTTCCCCATTGAGGTCCGCATTGAAAATGATAGTTCATGCTCTTGTGAAGGCTGGGCACTGCTTGGAGCCCAAGTTGAACCCGAAGTGCCATCCCTGTGGGTTAGGAGACACATCTGAAAAATTTCCCAGTCATGAAGGAGTTCTAAGTTGAAGCCTGGTTGTGTGTGTCCTCTCCCCAGCCACATAACTGTTCTTGGAGAGCAACATTCCTTAGTGATTCGCTCAGTGCCTTGTAAAGACTAAAAAAAAACAAAAGCCACTGTCATCCAGTGGACTCCTACTCCTAGTGTCTCTATAAGACAGCGTGGAACTGCCCCTTTGTGTTTCCAAGACTAAATCTGTACTGGCGCAGACAGCCTCATCTGTCTGCTGTGAAGCAGCTGGTGGGTTTGAACTGATCTTGTGGTTAGCAGCCCAACTTGTAACCCCCAGGACTCCTTGTATATACGAAGTGCACAATATATACCAGGGGGCTTCAAAAAGTTCATGAGGGAAATTGAATTAATGGAATCTGATGAATGAATGAATGATTTCTCAGTGTTGTGCAAGTCACCTGTATCAGGTTACATAACACTTCCATCACTTCACCTAACAAAATCTTGTACACTGGAAGCAGTCACTCCCCATCCCCATCTGCCCTCAGCCCCTAACAATTACCAAACTACCACCCATCTAGCTAGCCACTTTTTGTGTCTCTGTGGATTTGCCCACTCTGGATGATTCATGCGGATCCCTGGTGGTACAGTAGTTATACACTAGGCTGCTAACCGCAAAGGTTGACAGTTTGAACCCACCAGCTGCTCCAAGGAAGAAAGATGAGGCAGTCTTCTTCCATAAGGATTCACAGCCTTGGAAACCCTGTAGAGCAGTTCTACTTTGTCAGAATTGACTCAACAACAATAGATATGTTTTATATAAATGTAAGCACAGGATCAATCGATGACCTTTGTGTCTGGCTTCTTTCACTTAGCAGTGTGTTCCAGTTCTTCCTTGTCCTCGTGGCATACATACATGTATCAGAGCTTCCTTTCGTTTAATAGCTGGACGAGAGACCACTGTAGAGACAGATCACATTTTGTGTATCCATTGTGTGTCGTTTTCAGCTTTGGGCTACTGTGAACCATGCAGCAAACCAGGGACTGACTCCCCAGTGAGCAAGTGAAGCGGGGGCTCTGTTGCTGTTATTAGCTGCCATGGAGTCAGTTCCGACTCACAGCGACGCTGTGTACCACTGCACAATCCACCGCCATCCTCACAATTGCTCCTAGGCTTGATCAGTTGTGGCTCCTGTGTCAGTCCTTCTCCATGCGGGCCTTTCTCGTTTTTTGCTGCTCTTCCACTAAGCATGATGTCCTCGTGGGTCGGTCTCTCCTGACAACATGACCAAAGAGAGTAAAATGAAGTCTTGCCATCCTTGCCCCTCAGGAGCATTCTGGCCTTACTTCTTTCAAGTAAGTTTGTCCACGGTACATTCAATATTTTCCCACAGCACCACAGTTCAAATGCATCAATAATTCTTTGGTCTTCCTTATTCGGTGTTGAGCTTTCACATGCATATGGGGCAATTGAGGACCAACTTAAAGTACGTAAGCATTATGGATAACATTGGGAAGAATGGGAATTCCAGAATACTTAATTGTGCTCATGTGGAACCTGTATATTGACCAAGAAATAATTGTTTAAACAGGACAAGAGGATACTGCATAGCTTTATACCAGGAAAGGGGTGTGTTAGGATTGTATGATTTCACCATGTTTATTTAATATGTATCCTGAACAAATATTCTAAGGAGCTGAACTATGAGGAAGAATGCAGCAATCTGCATTTACAATGTGCAATATGCAGTTGACACACTTAGCTCACGGAAAGCCAAGAAGACTAGAAGCACTTCAGTATAAAGTACACCGTAACATAAAGAAAACAGAAATCCTTACATCTGGACCAAGCAGCAGCATCAGGATCAACAGAGGAAAGATCGAAGTTGTTGAGGATTTCATTTCCCTTGAATCCACAATGAATGAATGTCCACGAAAGCAGCAGTCAAGAAATAAAAAAATTTGTATTGGGAAATATGCAAATGACCGCGTTACAGCATTAGACAGCAAACCTGTTCATTCTGGGCACGAAGGTGCACCTGAGCCAAGCTGTGGTATTTTCAGTAGTTTGTAAGCATGTGAAAGCTGAACAGTGAATTAAGGGAGACTTGAATCATGGCGCCTGCAAACATTGTTGACTAAACCATGGACTGTCAGAACAAATCTGTGTTGAAAGGAGAACAACCAAAATGTTTCCAAGAATCAAGAAGGGAATGCACTTTGGTTATGTCATCAGGAAGGACCAGTTCCTGAAGCAGGAAATCATGGTTGGTAGAAGAGTCAGCAAAAACAGAGAAAAACACTCAGTGAGCTGGATTGACGCAGTGGCTAACACAGTGAACTCAAATCTAACAAGTATGAGGATGGCACAGTACCAGGCAGTGTTTTGTTCTGCTGTGCCCGATAACAACAACACTTAAGTAAGCTACTACATAATACACAATAAGCACTCAGTAAATAGTAACTATAATGGCTGCTACCAAATTTCTATTTCAAATCTTCAATTTACCTCATAAGCTCCGAGTGTCAGGAGAATTTCCAGACAACTGACAAGACTAGAAAAAAGATCTAGGGGGAAAAAAAGGAATCATTACCTGCAAAAGTGTATAAATCTACATGGATGATATATTGAAAAAATTAGCTTCACATTGTGAAATTTCGATGTAATGAATATCTTCATGAGTTTGGGTGGGGAAAAAAGAAAAGAAAAAGAAAAGAGCATCTAGAGATTTATTTCTTTTCTTTTTTTTTTGAGATTTATTTCTAAAAAAAAGTCACCAATGAAAACATTTTTTTATAAATCATTTTATTGGGGGCTCATATAACTCTTACCATAATCCATATATACATCCATTGTGTCAAGCACATTTGTAATTTGTTCCCATCATCATTCTCAAAACATTTGCTTTCCACTTGAGCCCTTGGTAATTTTTCCCCTCCCTCCCAACCCTTGATAATTTATAAATTATTATTTTTACATGTCTTACACTATCTGACGTCTCCCTTCACCCATTTTTCTGTGGTCGGTCCCCCAGGGAGGGGGTTATATGTAGATCTTTGTAATTGGTTCCCCCTTTCTACCCCGCCTTCCCTCCAACACTCCAGGTTTTGCCACTCTCACCACTGGTCTTGAGGGTTTCGTCTGTCCTGGATTCCCTGTTTTTCCAGTTCCTATCTGTACCAGTGTACATCCTCTGGTCTAGCCGGATTTGTAAGGTAAAATTGGGATCATGATAGTTGGGTGGGGAGGGAGAAAGCATTTAAGAACTACAGGAAAGTTGTATGCTTCATCATTGCTACACTGCACCCTGACTGGCTCCTCTCCTCCCCGTGACCCTTCTGTAAGGGGATGTCCAGTTGCCCACAGATGGGCTTTGGGTCCCCAATCTGCACTCCCCCTCATTCACAATGATATGATTTTTTTGTTCTTTGATGCCTGATACCTGATCCCATTGACACCTCATGATCACACAAGCTGGTGTGCTTCTTCCATCTGGGCTTTGTTGCTTCTCAGCTAGATGGCCACTTGTTTATCTTCAAGTCTTACGATCCCAGACACTGTATCTTTTCATAGCCAGGCAAAAACATTTCTTTTTAAAGAAAAATTGCAAACCTTGAGTTGTAATATTGAAGGATGCTATGGGAAAAATATTGAATGACACAGGAAGCATTGTCACAATAGCTTTGTCATTGATTACTTGAGACCTTAAACAAGTTACTTCTTTGTGCTTCCATTTTATTATCAGTAAAATGATAATGATAGAATTTACTCCCCAGTTATTGTAAGGATACAGCAGTTGATAAAGTACGATGAACAATGCTGGAAACTCAGTAAGTGAAATGTCAGGGTTAGCAATTTTTATTTAGTCGCAGTTCAAGAATTTCCCTACAAAATACAGAATCCAAACGTTCACTACAGCAACAACAACACAAACAGGCCGTCTACATCAGTCTCTTTCCCTTCTCTAAACTTGCGTGTTCTGTCTCAGCTGAGATTTGATGGGGAATGAATGAAGCAGCTTCCCTTGTTTATTGATAATCCAGTCTCATCTGCTTTGACCAGCTCCACTGCTATCTATGGCTGTCAGGAGAAAGAAAGAAGGCCGTAATCGGACGGGGCAGAGCCTGGGCCAGAGCCTGGGTCAAGACCAACCCCCGTCACGACCTGCCCCGCACTAGTGGCTGCGGTGACTTGGATTCTGGACTCCGGACTGCAAACCCTACGGGCGGATGCCGGAAGTGCATCCTGCTGAGGGGCGGGGCCAGGTGACGAGGCATGGGCCGGACAGCCAATCAGAAGCGAGTGCCCCCACCCTTGAGGGCGGAAGAGAAGAAGTTAGTTCCGGACGCGGCCGCTCTCGGCGCCATCTGTCACCTCCGCTCCGGCGCCAGCCGACCTTTACCCCTGCCCCGCTGCCTGTCTCCTCCTCGCTGTAGCCGCCTCCCGGTCCTGGGCTCGCGTGACCCTGTCCTTGTCGCTGGCTTCTCCCCCCACATGGATCTGGTCGGAGTGGCATCTCCTGAACCCCGGCCGGCCGCGGCCTGGGGAGCCAGCAAGGTGAGTGGCGGCGGGGCCGACGGACCTGCTTACTCACCTGGGCTGCTGCTTTCGCTGAAGGCCCGCAGGGGCTGGCAGTCGCCAGGACGGCTGTGGCAGCTCCAGGGCGAGACCCTGGGCACCCGGGCAAGGGGGCACGGGCTGCTGTAAGGGCGGGCAGGCAGGAGCCGGGGGGCTCAAAGGCCACTCTGGATCCCCTTTTAGCTCTACACCTGGCTTTCTGAATCCCTAAACGATATGGAGCAGGCTCCTCTGACAGGTTTAAGTTTGAGAGAAAACCAGTCTGGGCTTGTTTTTCCTGGGCCGAGTGAGTCAACCCCATTAGTAACCGGCAGAAAGTTCGCTTAGGACATCGTTGCCTTAAATTGACAAATGCGGTGAACCTAATTAGGTAATTTGTTTTGGAAGTAGTGAAAGATACAACCGGGCACACCCTCCTCCACGCCAATACTCCGACGGCTTTTAATTCACCTTCCCTGCCTGTATTTTTACATCTAAACTTTTAATGGCACACTGTCGACGTTTATTTAACATTTGAGTTCTGGTTTTCGGGCTCCCCCCCCCCCGCCCCCCCCAGGTCTTTTCATGAAAAGACCCTTCTACTTTACTGGGTTTGTTTGAGAGCAAGAGCCTTTAAATGAAGTGTTGCTTAAGTGTGTGAAGGAATCAAACTTTTTTGACTCCTTAACTATTTTTCGCAAACTATTTGTTCCCTTAAGTGAGTCGTCTGTTAATCTTGTTGAATCTTCAGGTCTCCCACCGGTAACATTTTAAAATGTCAGGATAAGTAGACGTAATTCTGATACAGACTTGTGTTAAATTCCTTGAGTTAAACAAAACCAAACTCACTGCTATTGAGTCATGCCGACTCATAGTGACCCTAATCGTCCTGGGTAGAACTGCCCCTGTGAGTTTCGGTAACTTTTCAGGAGAGGCCTTGTGCCTGGTGGTTTTGAACTGCTGACCTTGTGGTCCGAAGCCCAAGGTGTAACCACTATGCCACCAGGGCTCCTCTCCTTGAGTAAAGCCTGGGGGAAAATGCCAAGTCTTCTCAGAATACCTCAGAACAAATTTCACTTACAAAACTAATTTACTAACACAATATTTGCTATCAGTAATGTTTTAATGTAATGGACATTGTCAGTGCTTTGAAATTTTCCATTTTCACCATTCAATAAAAATTATCCTGGGTGTATTTATGCCTCATTGGAAAGGCAATATTTTGGCAGGTAAAACTTAATCTTTTGTCACTTACTTCTTCCTTCTTGGAACTCATGGGAGACAAATGATTAGTGAAGCCTGCATGACAGTGTGGACATTGAGAAGCATTTTGAAAAACAGAAAAACTGGTGCTCAAACATTTAGGGCTGGGGCCCTCTTGGCACTCTCTTCCTAGTGAAAATTTTGAGAACTTTTGTTTATGAAGGCTAGATCTACCCATTGGTATTTATGATTAAAAATCAGGACTGAGAAACTTAAAGTGTATTTGTCATCTAAAAGTCATATGTTAGCATAAACATTTTTATGAAGGAAAAAGACCTTGTAATAAAATGAACGATAAAAGTATCTTTGTGTTATATTTTGTTTCCTATATGGTTTAAATATAGGAGAAAAATCTATCCTTGAAAAGATAAGCAGGTGGTACTTACTAATAGTGAGTCACTTCTGACTCATAGGACCAAGTAGAACTGCCCCAATAAGGGTTTTAAGGCTGTAAAACTTTAAGGCAGCTGACAACCACATCCTTCTTCCAAGGAGCAGCTGACAGAGTTGGGCCGCCAACTTTTCAGGGCTCCAGGTGGATTATAACATGTATAAATTAAGATAGATAGTAAATTACCAAAGGTAATTAGAAAAAAAGGGTACTAATTACCAAATGCAAAACATATTATGGGCAAAGAGTTTTAAGGGATATTCTTGGTAGGGATGAATGGTTACAGTGTAGCTTACTTGGAAAGGGAGCTGTCAAAATAAATTGGTGAGTCGCCTCAAAACCAGATGTTCAAAATCAAGAAAAGTCTGAGAAACTCAGTCCTGAGGAGTCAAAGGAAACAACAAAAAAAATCAAACTCACTGCCATTGAGTTGATGCTGACCTATAGACCCTACAAGACAGGTTAGAACTGTCCTAAGTAGACATGGCAGCTGAAATTGATGTGGATCTGGAATCGTGAATGACGCCAGGACAAAAAAAGATTAGGTGAAAGTTCAAGGAAACCTGAATGAAGTATGGACTTGAATGAACAACTTGTTTATTGGTTTATTAATTGGGATAAATCAACCAGCAAGTAAAGGATGTGAACAGTAAAGGAAACTTGGTATAGGGATTATGGGAACTCTGTACTGTCTTTGCAGATTTTCTGGCATCTAAAACTGTTGTAAAATAAAAATTCTCTTTTTAAAAATGGATCAGTATTGTTGTATAGACCCACACCACTTTTCCCCCCAAAAGCCTTTGTATTAAGCTGTGAAATGAATGCTCTGCCAAGGTCTTTACCTTGTGTCTCCCTCTGAGGAAATGGCCGTACTCTAGGAAATTAGTGTTGGTGAAATGAATAATGGGAAATGAGACTGCCTACCTCAGATAGGACACGTTTATGCTGGTCTGAAGAGTTTGGATATGGTTTCAAAGCATTGACAAACCTTTCTGCAGGCTGTGCCCTAACTCCGGAAATTGCCTCAGTGTGAGGTGACCCAGCTGAAGAGGGCTGCTGAGGTATGGGGAAGTACAGCACTATACCCCTCAATGTGTGAGCACCAGTGACCTGGAGCATTGTTTCCATTAAAATGCTTCTCAGTGTCCAAGAAGATTCATAGGAGTGGAGAAGTATGAGACCTCATGCTATCTGTGGTCTTTATGTATTTCTTTTTCTGATTCAGTCTGTCTTGGGGGGAGATAAATTTCTACTTTAAAATACAAAATTTCCCTATTAGTTTTGCGTCTGAGGCAAAATTATTTAGCGCCTCAGCAGAGTTCATGGACTGCTGGCTGAAGACTAGAATACACCAGAAGTGTGGGCCAAGGGGCTGGAGAGGAAGGCGCATTTGAGTAGTAGTAGTTCTGTAGAAGGTAGCAGACCTCTATAGCTTAGGAACAGGCGGGCAGTTCCAGCAAATAGCCCTGGTGTTTTCCTTTTGTCAAGCATTACTCAGCAAATGCCCGAAGACTTCTTTATATCCCATGCTGTATGCTGGGCTCTGGGGGGGAGCCAGCCCCACCCTTCAAAGGCTCTTGTTCTGTTGGGTCTCAGAGGATAACAGCATGCATGAAGGTATAGAGTGATATTTAGCATATAATTAGTATTGCTAGAACTTGGGGTATATGAGTGAGGAGACTGGAAAAATTGGGGCAAGTTGAGAAAAGTATTCCTTGCTGAGGAGTTTGGATTTTTTACTACGGTGGGACACTTTGCTTTTCAAGGTCCAGAAGAAGGTGATTCCAAACCTACTTCTGTCAAGTTTATTCCAGTTCGTTGGGACCTTATAGAATAGAGTAGAAGTGTCCTGTGGGTTTCAGAGACTGTAAATCCTTAAGGGAGCAGGCTAGACAAGAAAGAAAGCCTCATCTTTCTTCCTCAGCGCTGCTGATGGGATCGAATTGCCACCCTTGTGGTTAGCATCCCAGCTAGCCCACTATGCCCAGGGCTCCTGACAACCGTGATTAGGGAAGGAGTACAGAAGAATGCCAAGAACATTTTCACAGTATAATCTTGGATTAAATAACTATTCTGGGTCCTACATTTCTAAAGCTGTATAATGGGGTGACAGTGCAACAATTCAGTTGTAAGATAAGATAATCTTTGTAAATGACCTATATTTAACTGAGTGGTTTAAATATAATGAATAGTCAACTGTTGTCTGTTAGGCTGCCATTATTAGCCTTTACAAAAGGTGATTGTGAGCCCAGGATTTTTACCTTTTGGAACTTTGGACTTAGGAATGGATCAGACTAAGCATTTTTAACCTAAGAGGTAGTATACTGGCCCAATTTCATGTGAGTAGAGAATCTGTAGGGTTTCTCTTTAGTTTCTTGAAAGAGTTTTCAGAAAGGAACTTACAAAAGATTCACATTGATGTATAAACTGGCTAGAGGTAAAGTCACTTGCTGTACCGATAAGCCAATTCCCACCATGTCAATTCCAACTGCTTACCCACCTCACTGCTGTCGCGATTCCAGCTCACAGTGACCCTGCAGGACAGGGTAGACCTGCCCCTGTGGGTCCAAGACTCTATGGGAATAGAAAGCCTCGTCTTTCTCCTGCGGACCTTGCCATTAGTGGCCCAATGTGTAACCCCTTTGCCACCAGACAGAGCTCCTTAAGCTTGGAGAACGGACAGCAAATCAGGAACAGAACAGGCATAAGCGTGTTAGGCGTTTGGAGAGAACTGCAAGAAGAACGGTCAGATCACAAAGAACCTCATGAGCAGGTTAAGGAATGCACGTAGACTTTATCTGACAGGCAGCCGGAAACAGAAACTAAGCCTATCAAATGTGTGTTTTAGAAAAACCACGATTTTGTGGTATGGGAATGGGAACAAACAAGTAGAAACATTGGTTAGGGGCCTTTGTCAGGAGCCCTGTGGTGGGATGATGGCATTTTGGATTAGACTCATAGAAGAAGGACCAAGAGAGTTGGGCAGGCCCCAAGAGAGACAATTGTGCAACATTAATGGTCTTAACCACTAGAATATAAAATGCAGGCATTTGGATGTGCTGCTGCTGCTGATGAAATGAAGCATTGTGAGTTAGCCTGTAGCTGTAGTCAAGAGAGCTTGCCATTGAGTTGCTTCTGATTCACAGCCACCCTGAAGGACAAGGTAGGCCTGCCCCTGTGGATTCCTGAGGCTGTGACCTTTTTAAAAATAATTTTATTGAGAGCTCCTACAGCTCTTATCACAATCCATACATCCATCCATTGTATCAAGCACATTTGTGCATTTGTTGTCACATTTGTTGTCTGCACGACTTTCAGAACATTTTGTTTCTACTTGAGCCCTTGCTGTCAGCTTCTCATTTTTCCCTCCTTCCCCCACCCTCCCTCCCTCATGAACCCTTGATAATTTATAAATTTTTTTTGTTTTGTTGTGGTTTTTTTTTATTAAACATTTTATTAGGGGCTCATACAACTATTATCGCAATCCATACACACATCAATTGTGAAAAGCGCATTTGTACATCATTCTCAAAACATTTTCTCTCCACTTAAACCCCCGACATTAGGTCCTCATTTTTCCCTCCCTTCCCCACCCTCCCTCCCTCATGAACCCTTGATAATTTATTTAAAAATTTTTTCATGTCTTACACTGACCGATATCTCCTTCACCCACTTTTCTGTTGTCCATCTCCCTGGGAGGGGGTTATAGACAGATCATTGTGATCAGTTCCCCTTTTATCCCCCCACCTTCCCCTTACGCTCCTGGTATGGCTACCCTCAATATTGGTCCTGGGGGGTTTATTGTCCTGGATTCCCTGTGCTTCCAGCTCTCATCCCATGTACATGCTCCAGTCTAGCCAGATTTGTAAGGTAGAATTGAGGTCATGATAGTGAGGGGGAGGAAACATTACAGAACTAGAGAAAAGTTGTATGCTTCAACGGTGCTGTACTGCACCCTGGCTGGCTGGTCTCCTTGTGACCCTTCTGTAAGGGGATGTCCAGTTGCCTACAAATGGGCTTTGGGTCCCCACTCCACACTCCCCCTCATGCACAATGATAGGATTTTTTTGTTCTGGGTCTTTAATGCCTGATACCTGATCCTATTGACACCTCATGATCACACAGGTTGGTGTGTTTCTTCCATGTGGACTTTTTTGCTTCTCATCTAGATGGTTGCTTGTTTATCTTCAAGCCTTTGATACTCCAGACACTATATCTTTTCATAGCCTGGCACCATCAGCTTTCTTCACCACATTTGCTTATGCACCTGCATTGTCTTCAGTTGTGGGGGGAGGTCAGATGCACAGGCATTCCCCCCCTGAGGGCCATCAGTTGCCAGACTGCAGTGGGTCCCACTCCCTGCTGCTGGGGACAATGGACAGGCTCCCATTGGAGGAGGTCACATCCTACTGATAATGGTTCCTATGGAGACCCAGAGAATAGGTCAAAGTTAAGTTGCCCTCCTAAATCTAGGATCCACCCATTTTGTCACATGTATACCCCAATCCTTCCTCTTCCTATTGTGTGCATATCCCTAGACCACCCCTCTCATTGCTGTATAACCTATAATGCAACCCCTTCCTGTGATGTATGTCTTTACCTGTAATTAGTGGGCTTGTACGCCCCAAAGGTATATAGGCGTGGGTCAGCAATAGAGCTCTCTCCCTGGGCTCCTCCTTGCGCCCCCTCTCTCCCTTGTTCCCTTGCCCTCCTTCCCTTCCCCCTCTCTCCACGTGGACCACCTAGCTGGGCTGAGGTGAGCAATGCTACTGTGTAATGTGTCTGACTGCATTATTGCAATATCTCTCATGCTCTCGATGACTTTGATATAATATATACATATCTCAACCATACAGTTGTGCATTACTGAACCCGTGGGTAGTAGTAGCAGTGGGGGCTGGCCCCTCACCCACTTCCCATAAATTAATACTACATTCAGTGATCGTTTTGGAAAGGTGAGCATCATAGAATGCCAGGTTAATAGAACAAAATGTTCTTGCATTGAGGGAGTACTTGAGTAGAGGCTCAATGTCCATCTGTTAACTTAATACTAAACATATACATATATGTACGTAGATCTATTTCCCCATTGTCATATATAAATATATTTACATATGTACATGCCTGCATTTAGACCTTATAAATGAGGCTGTAACTCTTTATGGGAGTAGAAAGTCTTATCTTTCTCCCAGGCTGGTGGTTTTGAACTGCTGACCTTGTGATTAACATCCCAACTCGTAACCACGGTTCTAAGTTCTGATGATGCAGTGGCTAACCACTTGGCTGCTAATTGGGAGGTTGATGGTTCAAACCCACCACTTCGTGGAAAAAAGAAAGATGTAGCAGTCTACTTCCATAAAAATGTACAGCCTCAGAAACCCTATGGGGTAGTTCTACTTTTCTTGTAGGTTTGTATGTGTTGGAAACTACTCAGTAGCAGTGGGGTTTGGTTGTACGTTTGGGGTAGTCTGTTATTTCCAGAGCCTGTTTGAGCTTCTAAAGATCAGACACGGTCATTGTGTTGTTTTTTGTTTTAGCATGTATCAAGATGTCTTGAAGAGGAATTGACATACATTTTAACACTTAAAAAACGGATAGAGAAATCATAGTACTTAAATTGGAATGAGACATAACTTTCCAGTCTGTTTTGAGTAGATATAGTCTGTTCGTAGTGGGAACTCCACCTGCGAAGAAAGACAAGGCATTCTACTCCCTTAAAGAGTTCGTGAGTTACATTCTCAGAAATGCACAGGGGCAGGGCTACCCTGATTAAAAGAGTCGCTATGAGTAAAAATGAATTTGGTTTTTGATAGATTTGAGATGAATTTCTGTAAATAATAGTGACTCAGTAATAATATGATGGTTTTTTTCTAAGTTTGAGGTGTACTTTATTCCATTATTATTAACTATGAATTGAGTTGCCTTTTTCCCCCCCTTCTCCTAGTGTCCATGGGCTGCCCCTGAAAATACAATATCTTGTTCCTTGGCTGATGTAATGAGTGAACAGTTAGCTAAAGAATTACAATTAGAAGAAGAAAGAGCTGCTTTTCCTGAAGTTGGTGGGTAAGTGAAATTCATAAGAACCTATTTTATCAGCAGCTTCTTAGAACAAAGTTTTAGAATATGATTTGTGATTGTCATGACAAGTGATTATACTTTGGGAAAAACAGTGCAGTCGAAAGAGCCCCATACTATATAATTTCATGGATAATTGAGTTTGGGTGCTCTTTCTGTGATTGGATTTCAGTGTGACCTTGGGCATATCACTCTCTTTTTCTGTATTTTAACTATATTCGTGCAATAGCCTATAATCGGACTAATCGATCACCAAATTAGCAAACGTTGAGGTGGGGCATGGTTTTGACCAGGTGTTTGTAGTTTATCATTTTGCCCTCCCTTTAGTGAGCACCCAGCACAAGTGAATTGATGGCCTCAGATTGGCCCCTAGGTTTCTCTTCTACTGCTCTTAATTCTAGTTGGTGCCCTTAGTCATGAGGAAAGCCAGGCAAGGAACATGAATGACCTGGTAGCATTCTTTCCCGTTGCTTCTGGAGTAGACCTTTAACAGTGAGAAGCACAGGGGCCTCTCATAACCAGTAGCATCTATTAGTAACAGCTACACAAGCGCGCACTGTCGTGGTTTACACTGCCTTGTGTTACAGTGTTGCCGAAGGACCTTTCATCACTGGAGAAAACGTGGACACCTCCAGCGACCTCATGTTGGCTCAGATGCTACAGATGGATTTCGACAGAGAGTATGATGCACAGCTTAGGCGTGAAGAAAAGAAATTCAATGGCGACAGCAAAGGTACTATGACCAGACTGTGGCATATTAGGTAATCAAAAGTGCTTATATAAAGGGCCTTCAAAAAGTTCATGGAAAAATTCGATCATCTTTTCATGCAGTTTTTCCACAAACTTTTTGAAACCCCTTGTAACATGCCCCTAAGTGACTCTTCAACTGTTAATTGCCTTTTAAGTTTCCATTTCCTTTGAAAATTATCGAAAAGTGCATCCCTATGAAGACAGCGATAGCTCTGAAGACGAGGTTGACTGGCAAGATACACGTGATGATCCCTACATCCCAGGTACCCTGCTTTTCCGTATTCTCTGAAGGTTTGGGCCTGGGACCGAGAAAGACTGATTTTTCCCTAATGGGCACTTGGAATTTTACATTTATCTTAGGATCTGCCCTTTGCTAATTTACTCTGTTAGATTTGAACGTCTTCAGACATTCTTTAATGCAGCAATACGGTCTTTGCAATAAAATTTTATATCCTTGGCTTGTCTTCATCACCTTTAGCAAAACCAGTTCCTACTCCCAAAAAGGGTTTCATTGGAAAAGGAAAAGACATCACCACGAAACACGATGAAGTAGTTTGTGGGAGAAAGAACACGGCAAGAATGGAAAATGTGAGTCTCGAGGCCCCGGGTCTGCACAGAGTCTAGTGGTGAATAAATTAAAATCTCATCGAACTTCAAATACAGTATTGTAAATTTCTGGGGGTAAAAACATTTGTCCTTTCCAAAGATAGTTTAGATGACAATATAGCTATACCATCCAAACCCAGCTACTAATAATACGAAGTACTTCAGAATCATCTTCAGAACGATTGTTCGGTTTTCCATGATTCTAAAATTAAGAATTAGTTCTATGAAAGTAATATACTTATTCCTCTATGTATTATCTTATACAAAATAACTTTGTTGATCGGGGAGATAAGAATGGGAGGGAGAATTATTTGTTTCTATGTGCTTTATGAACACTTCCCAGTGTTGTTTTTCTTGTGTGTGAACTACCCTTGCAATATCCGAAGAAAAGTCTTTAAAAGAAAAGGACATTCTTTCTAACTCACATTGTGATTAAAATTAAACGCTGAACCATTAGAGTACAAATACTTGTTAAGTAAGCATATTAAATTACATTCTAGAAATGTTACAGATCTGGCTCTAAAATTCTACAGCACTCCACTGAAACTTCCTGTGATAATGGATATACTCTATGTGAATACTGTAAGTTGTGGTTGCTGCTACCCACCTCTGACTATTGAGCACTTAAAACATAGCTGATATAATTGAGAAACTGATTTTTTTTTCAATTTTAATGAATTTAAATGTAAATTAAAAATCTTCATGTCTGCTATATTGCACAGCATAGCTGTAGAGCATAATGATCATGGTGTGACCATCACTTTAAATACTGGCCACTCCTGAGATATAGTTCATTATGAAATTGTATTTCTTTGGTAAGATTTGATACAGCCTTCCAGATACAATACTATATATTCTTTGGCATTACAAAAGCAAGGCACAAAGTATGTTTTATAGACTTTAGTTCTCAAATGAGGAGCTGATGCCAGGGGCTTACATGGAGAGCAAATGTTTTGAGAACGATGATGATAATGAATGTACAAATGTGCTTGACACAATGGATGTATGTATGGATTGTGATAAGAGTTGTATGAGCCCCCCCCCCCAATAAAATGATTTTTAAGAAAAGGCTTTAGTTTTCAGGTATAATTGGATTTTCCCCCCACATAGAATAAGGTTAATATTAAGTTGTTCGATTTGAGGTCCTGGGGAAAGACCCTTTATCTTGCTGCAGTTTTTGTAGACCGCCCCTGTGTCTCTGGGGTTTGTTAGTGAGTAAGTCCGCCGGGTCTGCTGTTGGAGCACGTGCCTTGGTGGAATCAGGAACGGAAGACGGGTTGTTTTGTTCTGTCCTCATGTGAAAGTATTCAGACAACAATTCCTTTTTCCTTGGCAGTTTGCACCTGGGTTTCAGGTAGGAGATGGAATCGGTATGGACTTAAAACTATCAAACCATGTGTTCAATGCTTTGAAACAACATGCCTACTCAGAAGAGCGCCGAAGTGCCCGCCTACACGAGAAAAAAGAGCATTCTACTGCCGTAAGTTCATGAATGTTGTTTGTTTTTAATGGAAAGGTGGATATTAGAAAACTAAGTGGATGTTCCTGAATTCTTTTTAAAATTGTTTTCTTTTACTTTATTGGCACATTTGTAATAACCTAGTCTGATGGTTTGCAAGGTTGAAGATAATGTCTAATATATCAAGAATAAACTAAATTATTAACAATATACAAACTAGTAAGTACTCTGAGAGACTTTGGGGAGAAAAGTTTGGACTGCTAGTAGCTGTCTGTTTTATGATCGTCATATGTTCATTTTCAGCCACAGAGTTACAGTTTGTGGAAATGAATTCTATAAGGCATTCCTAGAAAAGCCTGTTATATATGCAACTAAGTAAATTAAACAAGGGTAAAAAAATTTTTGTAATGTAAAATACGAGAGAATCGTGTGAAAGGCTTTTATTAACTGTCATTTTCACTTGTAGTGCTCTGTGTTTTACAGGAAAAAGCAGTTGATCCTAAGACACGTTTACTTATGTATAAAATGGTCAACTCTGGACTGCTGGAGACAATCACTGGCTGCATTAGTACAGGAAAAGAATCTGTTGTCTTTCATGCATATGGAGGAAGGTAAATGAGCAAAGTAGAATAGCATCCTCTTAACCGAAATTTAGTTCCTTCGCCCCCATGTGAATGGATTGGCATATGAATCTTCGTTGATCCTCACCCTAACCTCTCTGAGCCCCCACCCCTTCCCCATTGCCGTGATTGCCGAGTGCAAAGCTGTGCCTCTGCAGACATGCAAAACTTGCTCGTCAGTGGGGGAGAGAAAAATTTCGGTTGACCCTGTGAGGTAACAGTACTTTTTTGTTATAAACAGTCTAGAGGGCATGCGGTTGTTGTTAGAGGCTGTCAAGTTGAGCTGCTGCTCTGGGTGCCAGCGAGCGAGCAAGCAGCGCTAATACAACAGAACGAAATACTGCCTGGTCCTCGGTCATTCTCCAAATAGTTCCGTTTCAGCCTGTGCAGCTACTGTGCTGGCCTCCCTGAGGGGATGCCTCTTTTTCACTGACCCTCCACCGAGCCTGATTGTTTTTGTTTTGTTTTGACTAGTTCCTCTTGATAACATATCCACCCACTGTCTTGCCATCCTCACTTCTTAGGGCATCCTGACTGTACTTCAACACAGATTTGTACATTCTTCAGGCAGCCCACAGTATGTCCAGTGTTCTTAACCAGGCTCACGATTCAAAGGCACCCCTCCTTTGGCCCTCTTCCGTCATTGTCCAGCTTTCACATGTATACGAGGCAATTGAGAACAGCATGGCTGGAGTGAGGTGCATCTTCTTCCTCAAAGTGGTATCTTCACGCTTTAACTCTCGAAAGAGGTCTTTTGAAGCCCATTTGCCCAATGCAATACATCGTTTTTCTGACTGTATTGCTGCTTCTATGGGCATGGATCATGGATTCAAATAAATGTTTAATCCTTGACAACTTGAATATTTTCTCCAATGATCATGATGTTGCTAATTGGTCCCATTGTGAGGACCAATTTTTTTATGTTGCGATGTAATCCTCACTTACTTGAATAAGTATCGTGGAATAATACAGCCCTTACCTTTTCCTGATCTTAAACCATGCAGCATCCCTTTGTACTGCCTCTTGGTCGATGTACAGGTTATCCATGAGCACAGCTATGTGTTCTGGGGTTCCCATTCTTAGTGTTATCCACAGTGTCTTATTTTCCACACGTTCAGTTGCCTTTGGATAGGCAATAAAGCACAGGAAAACTGTTTCTGGTATTCTCTGCTTTGAACCAAGATCCATCAGACGTCAGCAGTGGCCCCTTGTTCACTTCCTCTTCGAGTCCAGCTGGGATTTCTGGCACTCCCTTTCTCTGTACGGCTGTAACCGTTTTTGAATTATCTTTAGTGAAAGTTTACTTGCATGTAGTAAAACTGATACTGTCTGATCACTCCTCCTTCTCTTGGATTATCCTTCGTTGGGATGAGCGTGAACGTGAATCTCTTGTCGCCACTTGACCAGGTAGCTTTCTTGGAATAGAGGAGCGAACGCTCCCAGCACTGAATTAGTTTGTTGAAACATCCATTATTCTGTCAAAAATCATGGGTCTTTGTTTTTCATCAGTGTCTTCAGTAAAGTTGAACTTCTTTTCAGTACCATCAGTTCTTGATCATTAGCACCTCCAGAAATGGTTGAATGTTGACCCATTCTTTGTAGTATAGGGACTCTGTATAACTCCCATCTCCTTTTGATCTTTCCGTGACATATTTTCCCACAAGATATTTCTATCCTGCAATTAGGGGTTTGAAGCTTTTCTTCAGCTTCAGAAATAATGACCCTGGTTGTCCTGTATTGGCTTCCTAACTTTAGGTCTTGGCACATTTCATTATACTTTTGTCTTTTGGGAGCCATTTGAAATCCCTCATTCTGCTCTTTTACTGCACCTTGTCTTCCACTTGCTTCAGTCACTCCATGCTTAAGAGCTTATTTTAAAGGCTCTTGATGTCCACTTGGGTTCTTGTAACTTTTTTGCCTTTTGAGTCCCTAGTTACAAAAGGAAGAGCATTACATTATGGATTTTTGAAAACTGATCAACAGTTTATTTGAAAGAAAGTGTATTTTTAAAAATCAAAACCAAATCAGGCCTTGTTAAGATCTAAAACATGCACTCGTATACACAAGGGGTCTTATACACAGGCAAAGTCAAAAATATTGCTGTTGCGGTTTCAGTTTTTACACAGGTTTATTCCAAACAAACGTATTTAAATATGTCTACCATCAGTGGATGGCTACAGACAAGTTCTCTTGGTAGTATGCTTGTCTTAGTCTAACAGTGACTTCTGAGGGAATCTGCTGGGCCGGTTCAATTCAAAACTTTTGTTTCCCCTTCAAATGATAAGATGTTTAACTTTTTTCAAAACATTTTATTGGAAATTAATGCAGTTATATTATTCTATAGTCCAGTCACATCAAGCAGTATTGTACAATCAGTTTCAAAACATTCTTTTTCATTCTTGAATGCCTTGACATCAGTTCCCTTTTACTCCTCTCCCCTGCACCCACCACTGCACCTGCCAGAAACCCATAAGCTAGTTGTTGTTCTTATAAGTTCATCAATCCTGGGGCTTTTTTTTTTTTTAATCATTTTATCGGGGGCTATACAACTCTTACCACAATCCATGCAGCCATTGTGTCAAGCACATTTGTACATTTGTTGCCATCATCGTTTTCAAAACATTTTCTTTTTTTAAAACCATTTTATTGGGGGCCCGTACAACTCTTATCACAATGCATACATTCATCCATTGTGTCAAGCACATTTGTACATTTGTTGCCATCATCATTTTCAAAACATTTGCTTTCCACTTGAGGCCTTGGTATCAGCTCCTCATTTTTCCCCTCCCTCCTCGCTCCCTCCTCACTCATGAACCCTTGATAATTTATAAATTATTTTGTCATATCCTACATAGTCTGGCATCCCCCTTCACCCGCTTTTCTGTTGTCCATCCCCCAGGAAGGAGGTAACATGCAGTTCCTTGCAATCGGTTCCCCCTTTCTACCCCACCCTCACTCTAATGCCGCAACCCTTTAATATTCCTCATGTGTGGTGACCCCCCCCCAACCATAAAATTATTTTCGTTGCTACTTCATAACTATATAATTTTGCTACTGTTATGAATCGGGTGGCCCCTGTGAAAGGGTTATGGCAACTTTTTTGGAATTTGTTTCCCATCAGGACAACACACCTGCTCATTTTTCCCAGGCTGTTCCTTGGAGACTTTCAATGGGAAACCTTACCCTACCACCTAGTCCCTGCCCCTTGAGGCTTGTTTTTGTCCCCATAACTCAATATTTGAAAGGAATATGATTTGAGTCCCTCAGATATACCACAACTGCTCTTTTTGAGGTGGTGTACATCTTCAGGCATAGGTAGATGAAAATCCAGAAATGTATAAATGTACATGGGGGGCTCTGTCAGGAAACAACCGCTTTGTGGTTTTTTTGGTTTTATTTTGTTTTTAGCCACTTGACCAATATTTAGATTGGAGAGGTAAGGAATCTGGATGTTTTCTTTGCTTTTTTTTTTTTTTATAATGGGTCCATTTTTTTTTTTAAATGAATTTAAATTATTTTTGGGGTGCGTGTGTTAAATCCTCCATCATATTTTGATATATTTATTTCATAAAAGTTTCTATGATTTTTTTAGTAGTACTTTTTTCCCCACTTAGTGTGTCTGTGTGTCATGTGGCATTTAGAAGGTACAGCTAGTGTCATAGGATCTTCGTTTCAAAACAGTTTTGTTTGTGAGCTTGTGACCTGCACTGACTTAATTTTTTTTCTTCCTTCTTAGCATGGAGGATGAAAAGGAAGATAGTAAAGTTGTACCTACAGAATGTGCTATCAAGGTATTTAAAACAACCCTGAATGAGTTTAAGAACCGTGACAAATATATTAAAGATGATTACAGGTTTAAAGATCGCTTCAGTAAACTAAATCCTCGTAAGATCATCCGCATGTGGGCAGAAAAAGAAATGCACAATCTCACAAGGTAAAGACCATCACTGTGCTACTAGAAATAATCTGGGTACTTACCTTTCTGTATTAGCACTATTTAGCCAGGTAGAAAATTCCATGGGTCATTTGGTTTGCTTGTTTAATTCATTTGTATTAATACAGAAAGGCCTTGAAGTTCTAGTGTTCAATCAGGCTTTTTATAAGGAAACACTTCTGTGTGTATTACCTGAATGCATATTCTTACCAGTCTAATTGGATTTTGTTTTAATTGAGTAGGGTAGTTTCTCAATTTTTTAGCAGTTTATTTTTACTAAAGAATTTGTTGTGTCATCCAAGTAATAATATTTCCCATTAATTGACTTCTCCATTATCAATCTATTGAAAGCTTAATTTTAGCCCATTCTTTTCTAAAACTAGTGTTTATAAAACTCCGAAGTAGAATTTCTTAGGGCTACTTGCTGCCCTTCAGTATGCTCTCAACAGCTCCCCATTATCCTACAGAGTTCAATGTCTTTGCAATAGGACCTCCGCCCCTCTATAGCGTCAACACATTCCCCTCCTCAGAGATCCAACTACAACGATTTGTGTATATTCTCTGAATGGGCTGTGATCTTGAATGCCTTTTTGCATTTATACAGATAGACGTCCCCTAGCCAGCATTTTCTCAAACTGTGTCAATCTGGCAAGTCCTCCCACTGCCCTTGACAACTACCCACTCCCATAGCTGCTCCTCACACCTCTGCGGAGGCCTGCGTGCCTGCCTCACACTGCTCGCTCGGTCTCCTCATTGTCTGGCATCCCCCCCGGCTCCAGGGCCCTGCAGGCAGAGGCCGTGTCTTGCCGTCGCTAGGCCTGCATCTTGAGGGGAGGGTATGGCGAGTGTGCTAGCTTCTTGCAGGCCCTGCGTATTTGTTGGACACAGGAAAGCTTTTTCTCCTCTAACCATTACCTTCTTAATCATCTCTTTCTGTGTAGAATGCAGAGAGCTGGGATTCCTTGTCCAACAGTTGTCATGCTCAAGAAACACATTTTAGTTATGTCTTTTATTGGCCACGATCAAGTTCCCGCTCCTAAATTAAAAGAAGTAAAGCTCAGCAGTGAAGAAATGAAAGATGCCTACTATCAAACTCTTGATGTGAGTTGTGCCTTGAAAAGCATACATGTAATTTTAAAAAATTCTTCTAGACTTTAAAAAACAGTTTCCTACAATCGTTTCAGTTCAAGGTGATCTAGCAAGTTTGTGAAAGTGTGTACCATTGAGGAGTTGTTTTCTATCAATGTGTAGGTGCCATTCGTCCCTGTGAAACATCACAGACTTAAGGAATAAGTGAAAGCATTAGTTAGCATAGTGACTTAGAAACTATTAGTCATAAAGCTTCGGTACAGAAAATCTAATATTAAAACTAAAGGAAAGACAAGCTAACATTACTGCATTAGCCTCTGTGCTTTGCATACCTTTGAGCATGCTATAGCTCCAACTGCAAAGGAAATGCCTAGTTGTATTGTTGGAAAATTGAACAGAAGCAGATCTGGTCCCACCATATGAAAGTGATGATCAAAACTGGAAATATAGGGAAATAAAATCATAAGAGACCAGGTTGACTGGTTGGATCGGAACTGGTGGAACCCAAGACTGTGGTCCTTAGTTACCCTTCAAGTCTGGAACTGAGTTTTCCCCCATGTTAGATCTTTATAGCCTAAGAAAATTCTCCTGATACTGTCATTGTTTTTAACCAAACAGTGGAGACGCATATTTTCTGTACATTCTCTAGAGCTATCATGTGAGCCAATGTGAATATGAAAGTGTTATCCAAATTAATTTTTTTCATGTAGCTGGAGACATGATCTGATAGAACACTAATGATAGTAAATTCTACTAAGTCTGGGAAACAGTACATTAATAGATTTCTGCTATATGACTAAGGGTCATTATTATTAATAATGAACAGAGAATGCCATTTAATTCACAATATATTTTTCTCACATTGGCAGAAAACACCTTGCAGTTTTATATACCCCATAAAGGTCTCTGTAGGATATTTGTCTTGTTATGAAAGGAAGTGGTGGCTTATTTAGGTCCCCTGGTTAGCGGCCCAACATTTTAAGATCACTGACTATAGAGACAGGGCTGCAGTCTTTTGAGAATCCACTTTTCTCATTGGCCTCCTGAGCTCCTTGCTGTCACGCGACAAGGAAATATAGTGTCACACATTCAGCTTGCTGGTCCTCACCACTGTCTTACTGTTCCTCCCACCATCCCTCAAAAAAGCCCACTCCCAAACTACACAAAATAAAGAGGAAATCAGTTTTTCACCCCTGCTTTCCCTTTCCATAGGCAATATGGGTAGATGTACACATCCCCTGTATGGGTAAATTCTGTGTCCCTTCCTGTGCTAAACATTTGCTGTACCTTCTCACAGATGATGCAGCGGTTATATAATGAATGTACACTGGTCCATGCTGACCTCAGTGAGTATAACATGCTGTGGCATGCTGGAAAGGTGAGAAGCATGTGTTGATGGTCAGATTAAATTACTTTAATGTCAGTTATTGAATGTCAATAAATCAACATGTACTTTTTACTTCAATAGGTCTGGTTGATTGATGTCAGTCAGTCTGTAGAACCAACTCACCCTCATGGCCTGGAGTTCCTGTTCCGGGACTGCAGGAATGTCTCCCAGGTAGGCTTAGAAAGGAACATGTGCTTTACTGTGGAATGAAGCCCAAGTCTTCTTACTCCTATACTCTTAGACATTGAAGGAAGGGAGACTCATTGTTCTCAAGATAGGGTTAGCATCTTGAAATCTGATCCGATATGTCCATTTCATTTTCAGCATTTCTATGCCTCACATATAAGCTATTGGAATAAATCTTAAAGGAAATGTTTTCACATGGCCTCTAAACATTTAAACAAGCAAGAAGACAGCTAATCCAGTTTAATGCAAAGTGCTTAAACCAGGTGACATACAGTAAATCTACGTACTTACTGCCATTAGTATACTCATTAAAGGAAAAGGATAGGGTAATGAATGGAACGAGGGCTTATTTATGAGGAAAGTTAAAATTAGTGCTCACCCTGTTGGTCAATTTTATTGCTATTTTTTTTTTCTTTTTTGCTATTGTTTGAAGTGAACTTGTCGCAAGACAAGTCCATTTCAGTTCACTTTCCTTTTTCCTTTAAGCCACTCAGACCACTGTTTAGGTTTGAGGGCTCAGGAATCTGGAGGGAATTTTATTGCTATTTTTAAGGGTAATTGTTAGTAGCAGATTCAGATAACTGTGATCTTTGGAAATGTCACAATAAGTTGAAAATTGTTAACTAATGGGATTTAGGGAATCATTTCAGTCTCACATTCAAAGCAGTGCCAAGCAATGTATGTACTGCTCTTTTTCTTAATCTACTTTAATAGTTTTATTGACATATTATACATTTCAATATTGATTATATTTAAGTTATGTAATCATTACCACAATCAGTTTTAGGACATTTCTTCTTCCTTGTACTCATGATTGTTGGCTCTCCATTACCCACAACCGAGTTTCTAGAGAACTATTAATCAAGTTGCGGTCTCTCTAGATTTGCCTATCCTGGATTTAATTTCATTTACAGAAAAACTCTAAAAATTTAAAACGAGGGGAGGAGATGAGCCAGTCAGGGTGTGATGTAACAATGATGAGAAATACAACCTTCCTCTAGTTCCTAAAGGTTTCCTCCCCGCTCCCACTACCATGACTCGAATTCTATCTTGCAAGACTGGCTAGACCAGAGGAGGTACACTGGTACAGATAGGAACTGAAAATACAGGGAATCCAGGATGGATGAGCCCTATAGGACCAGTGGTGTGAGTGGCAAAACAGGGAGGGTGAAGGGAGAATGGGTAGGAAAGAGGGAACCGATTACATGGAACTGTGTGTGACCTCCTCCCTGGGGGACGGACAACCGAGAAGTGGATGAAGGGAGAAGTCGGACAGGGCAAGATATGACAAAATACCCATTTATAAACTATCGGGGGCTCATGTGGGAGGGGAGAGTGGGGAGGGAGGGGAAAAATGAGGACCTAATGTCGGGGGTTTAAATGGAGAGAAAATGTTTTGAGAAATGATGTACAAATACGCTTTACACAATTGATGTGTGTATGGATTGGGATAACAGTTGTATGAGCCCCTAATAAAATGTTTAAAAAAAAAAAAAAACACCAACAAAAAAAGACAAAATCTTGCAGGGGAGAGAGGGGAAAAAGAGGAGCTGATACCAAGCCTTTTAAAATTCAAACAGAAAATAAATGTTTAGAAAATAATGATGGCAACCTATGTACAAATAAGCTTGATACGATTGATGTATGGATTGTTATAAGAGCTGTAAGAACCCCCAATAAATGATCTTAAAAAAAAAAAAAAAATTTAAAACGAAAAAACTTCAGTCGAGAAGGAAATACAACTAATGTACATTGGCTCCAAAAAGGAGATCGAATGCAACTGCAGTAACCTATCCTCCAGTGCACTCTGTCTGATAACAAGGATATTCCCACCCCTGGTCCGTAGTGAGAGGACTCACCATAGCTTCATCCACACGGGGGACCCTGCAAATGGGTTTTGGGCTTTCACTGTCATCCATAGCCTTCTGCAAAGTGGGTGTTCAGAAGTTAAGCTCTACCATTTCCTCCTCCAGATTTGGTTTTGTTACTTACTATTCTTGGGTCGCACAGACTGGTGAGTTTCTTCTGATGGTCTTATCTGATGCCTCATTTAGATGGCTACTTGCTTTAAGACAACTCTTTAAAACTCCATGTGTTGTTTCTAATAGCCAAGCACCATATGATTTCTTCCCCACGCTTTGCTGTAGCACCCCTATCTTCAGTGATCTCTGCATGAAGACAAGTATCAAGTAGGACCATGTCATAGAACGCTTTGTAGCATTAGAACTAATTGTCCTTAGATTAGAGCTCTGATTAAGTCTGAGCTCAAAACTCATGTATCTTTGGTTTAAAAATATCACTGGTTCACTTTAGTTACATCATTATTATTAGAGAACATTTTGAATCATCCTCTTGGGCATATGGTAGTTTTAGTGATATTATCATTAATTTAGCCCATAATATATCATTTAAAACACTATTGAGAAAAGGAAAATATTCATGCATGGCTAGATTTTAGACCAAAATATAAGGATTATTGATTTCTACCGTTTATCAACTTAGGTGGCTGGACACTACACACACAAGAAGGGTGGAGATCAGGCACAGTTTTAGATAACACTCATTCGCAAAGGCAGAACTAGGCCTGCTACGGTAAAGACTCATCAAAAGGCAACGACAGTATGACAACAGCAAATACAGGGCGGTCTTGAGTGCCACTTACTGGGCACCCTCAGAGCAAGAATTTTGACCCGAAGACCAATGACGTGTGCATTCACAGCGGTAGCATACTCATCGTCTGCTTCTGCTCACAGGGTGTTCCCGCCTGAAGGCTAAGGGAACCCTTCTATTCCTTTGATCTGCTACAGGTGTGTGTGTGTATGGTATAGTCAGTCCGCTTCAAGTCGGGCCTTTCTGGTGTAGCCTGGGAAGGATGTTGTGCACCTGAGAAGGACAGAGTCTAAAGTCCTGGTTGTCTGTAGTACACCCCTTGGATTAACACAGGCTGAATAAACTTAGGTCAAAGGTGCCCACTTGGGAACATGATACAGGCTTTTCTCCCACTGGGAGTCTATTCTCGATGTTGAGGGTTTTTCCTAATGACAGGTTGCCCACCCGGTTTACCACCAATAGAACCACTTATTTTTATAGCTATGGAAGGTGCGATATGAAAAATAAACCTAGAAGACAGAACTGGTGTGTAAGAGGAGTGGAGAGAGTAGAACATAAACTGGGAAAATCTATGGTCTAAAAATCCTGAAAGGAATTCAGTGGTGTCTCATGAGCAAGTATTGTTTGTTGTTTTTAATTTATGAGATAACCTTGTTAATAAATCTTACTGACTTCCTTGTATTCCTTCACCAGTTTTTCCAGAAAGGAGGAGTAATGGAGGCTCTCAGTGAACGAGAACTCTTTAATGCTGTTTCAGGCTTAAACATCTCAGCAGATAATGAAGCCGATTTCTTAGCTGAGGTAAGTCTTGTTCAGCCATTGTACCTTCCTGGAAGTAGGGAGCTAGGTGGAGCAGGGAATGCGAACAAGGAGCTCACTTTATCCTCTCCTCCCTTCAAAAACAATGGTGGTGGGATTTTTCTTTCCTTGCTTGTTTTTGGTCCTTTCAAGTCTTAAAACTTAGGGTAAACACACAGTAAACTCTCGAAGGAGTCCGCAGTTGGGTTAAGATGGACAAATAGCCCTCGATGAGATGATTGGCACAGTGGCTGCAACAGTGGGCTCAGGCATGGGAACAATTGTGAGGCTGGCACAGGACTGTGCAGTGTTTCCTTCTGTTGTGCAGAGGGCGCTATGGGTCGGAGCCCACCCAATGGCCCCTGACAACATCCTCTTTTTCCCCTATTTTATGAAGGAAAGTTGCTGTTAATCAGTCCTGGTCCTGAACTGAACATAGGCTTCAAGTGATCATCCTTGGAAATGCCTAGTGATTACAGTATTGGATTTATAGTGCCGTGACAAAATCCTCTGCAGAAGCCCAAGAACTGACTGAAAACTAAAGGTCAAAATAGCAGCTAATCAATCCCAATATTATGCCAAGTTGCTTCAGAGAATGCTATGGAGTCTATTCCGGAACTTCCAAGTATGATTTGAGTTTAGCCAAGCGAAGTCCAGAAAAGAAACAGAAAGACGGTACTACAACACAATGCAGTTGCTCACAACATAGAGGCTACTATTGTTGGGTGAATATTGGAATTCTCCCCATCACCCTGCCTCACTCGAAAACAATATGTAGTTAAACATTCAATTCTAATTGCTGACTTGCTAAAGGTACTATGTTTCCCTATTATTGACCCAGGTAATGTAATCAAGCCAAAACACTCGTTCGTGTGTGTGTGTGTGTGTGTGTGTGTGTGTGTGTGTGTAATCAAGCCAATAACACTCTGTGTGTGTGTGTGTGTGTGTGTGTGTGTGTGTGTGTGTGTGTGTGTAGGTACCCAACACAGGCTCAATCTGAACTATATATATATATCCTAAGAATTCCTTCACTTTTGAAATACAGGTTCATTCTGGAATACTTTCTCTAAAGTCGTAGTTTTGACGAATGTATGAATTTTTTAAATGCAGTATTTTGACGGATGGATGTTGAGTATTAAAAAGGATGAAATGAATTTTATAGATAGAAGCTTTGGAGCAAGTGAACGAAGATCATGTTCAGAAGAACGGAAGGAAAGCTGCTTCCTTCCTGAAGGACGACAGAGGTCCACCAGTCCCACATGATGAATAACACCGTGCCCGCTGCCTCTCAGTGTCGACAGTGGTGATTATCAGCCAGGAGGAAGAGCAGTGCAGTTCTGGGTGACTTGAAATACCAAAAATGGAAACATGAGGCGTGTACATTGGTGCTTCTGCTTGTTTTTTCCCTTGTAACCCATGTGCCAGTTGTGTGGGATTTTTAGCGCAGCACTGAAAGAATAGAATGTCACTACCTCTCATCTCATGACTAGGGTAAGATCTAAAGGCTGTCTGCCAGAAGTCCACCTGGTTTTACATGATTCGTGGTACTGAATGTTTTCATAGGAGGTTTTTTAACTTAGACAATATTTCCCACAATGGAAGGGCCAGACAGATGTGTTTACAGGGGAGGGTTTTGTTACCTCTTTTCTGTTACATCTTTATTCATATATTTTACTGACCTCAAACTAGCCCTTCTCAATTCTTTTTCCAAATTGTGACCATGAGTCTAAAGGAAAAATTATTCTCTATAGTAGGTAGGACAAGTGCAAATTTGGTTTCACAAAAGCTGATGGAAACAGGCATAAGCAATATACTTTTTATTGGGGTGTCATGAAAAGGAGTTGAATGGAGCGTCTTCCATACTGTAACACCCAAGAAGAGACATCCTAAGTTTGTGGAGAAGATAAATATATAAGAACTACTTAACTATCCTGGCCCAAGAAGTTTCTTTAAACTTTCAATTATTTTGCATTTAGTTAAAATGGTTAAACTATAATTCACACAGCTGTAATGTAAATGTGGATTATTTGAAAGGGCAGACTAAGATTTAAACCATGTTTGACATTCTATGTTCAGTTTACATTTTACTCAAACTAGTTATTGATTAATTTCCAAGAGAAATATGGCAAATGAGAAATACATAATTCAGTGGGGAAAGGTATCTTTAAAGTAGCTCAGGAATCAAACTAACCAGCTGATTTGAATGAGCTGATGTGATCTTTCAGTAGTCTATCACTGAGACAATGGCTGCGTCCTTCTGAGAGAAAAGCACGCTCCTACTTTCCTCATGAGTTTGTTAGGGTGAGGTTTACAAACCACAACATGTGAAGCCTGCTGTTGCCACTAAGTCAGATTAGAGAAGGAAAAAATCCAAACATCTTAACATTTTTAAAAGCCAAATACGTTCTTCCTGAACACATTTTTTTTTATTTCTCCTGCATAGTTTTTAACTGCATTTCAGAAAAGTGTGTTTGAGGTAGATACTCATTACAATCCTAAAATGTTTACTATTCTGAAGCAAAGGTTAAGTGGCTGGTGATTACTGACAGAAATTCCAGAGAACTAATTTTTAAAAGCTTTACCATTTAAATGTTTTGTTTTCTAACATCGGCTGTTTCACAAAGAGCAACAGACCATTGCTGTGTGACATTCTTAAGTGTGTTGTGAACATGCTTTTTAAAAATTAAAAATGAAGAGATCATTTTAGAATTGGTTCTTTCTGTTTTCTTCCTGTTCCTATATTAAGCCCTGGCACCAGGTTATTTATTTCTTGCATAAAATGAAGCAGTGCTATTTTAAGCAACTTTTCCCCTTCAACTTTTCATATTTAGGTTTCATTCTTAAGTAGGCTACTTGTCACATTAGAAAATAGATTTTTTTTTCCTCTTTAATAGACCAGAGAGTACATGACTCCCAGAGAAGAAAATGCAGGTCTGCTAAATGAGTAAACCGAGCACAAGTCCATGAAGCCGGGAAATTGGGATACTAGGGGTATGCGGTGGGTGAGCTAGGCCAGACGGAATCAGCATAACGACTATGCTAGGGAATTTATATTTCAGTAAGGTAAGGTAGTTTACTGCCAGTTTCCTTTTTATTAAAAAAGATTGTTTTCTTATTGTAAGCATTACAACAATGAACAAACGATAGAGTCTGTTACTGTCCAGAACTCCCTGTTTATCATGTGGCATATACATCTCTTATCAGTTGTTTCCCCTAAGCATAATTAATCACATTATGCCCTTTAAAGCAGCAAAAGTGGGCTCCAGCTAAGTAGCTGATGGAGAAATTCTGATCATGGTGGCCTCCCTACGGAAGACCCAGGAGATGAAGCCTCTGAGATAGCTTATCACTTCACAAGAAGATGTGGGCTTGAGGGGACGTGTTCATTTTTGCTGCTCACTCAGGCTCTGCACACACACAACATTACTGCTGGAATTCCAACTTTCCAGCACGTAGAAACATGGTGAGGGGAACTCAGGTTATACCAGAAAACAGGAAATACTTGCACTGCCCCCCACAACTATGTACTTAAATTTTTTTACAAAAGAATTTTTATTTTCTTTTTTTTTTGGCTTTTTTATTTTATTTATTTTAAATCATTTTATTAGGGGCTCATACAACTCTTATCACAATCCATAAATACATCAATTGTATAAAGCACATTTGTACATTCATTGCCTTCGTCATTCTCATAACATTTGTTCTCCATGTAGGCCCCTGGCATCAGCTCCTCATTTCCACCCCTCCTTCCCTGTTCCCCCTCTCTCATGAACCCTTGATAATTTATAAATTATTATTTTGTCATATCTTACACTGTCTGATGTCTCCATTCACCCACTTTTCTGTCATTCATCCCCCAGGGAGGAGGTCACATGTAGATCCTTACAATCGGTTCCCCCTTTCCACCCATCCTCCCTGCACCCTCCCAGTATCTCCACTCTCACCACTAGTCCTGAAGGCATCATCCGCCCTGGTGTCCCTGTGTTTCCAGTTCTATCTGTACCAGTGTACATCCTCTGGTCTAACCGGATTTGTAAGGTAAAATTGGGATCATGATAGTGGGGTGGGAGGAAGTATTTAAGAACTAGAGGAAAGTTGTCTGACAAAACAATGGTATCACCATCAAAGTACTCTCCATTACACTTCATACATTTGTAAAATCTGCGATTCCATTCTTGGAAACATTTTCAAACTCACCTGTTTGGATGGCTGACAACACCTCTGTTTTTTTTCTTCACCTCTTCTACATTGTCAACTTGCTGTCTTTTCATGTCCCTCTTGATTTGCAGAAACAAAAAGGAGTCATAAGGAACAAGGTCAGGTGTGTGGGGCAAGAGAGGTATGCTGTTTTTTTTGTCAAAAAAAGGCACACTGAGATGGCTGCATGAGCAGGTGCATTGTTGTGGTGGCAAAACCACTTCCCCCGTATGCCACAAATCAGGCCTGTTTTGTCGCACACTGTTATGCAATCTTTGTAGAACCTGTAAATAGCAAGTCTGGCCTGGTGGAATGAACTTCGAGTGCTCTATGAGTCCATATTTTCGTCTGTTCGGGAAGTTGACGGATGTCCAGAACGAGGTTTGTCATCAATTGACACTTAACCCTTTTTGAAATGAGAAAACCACTCGTACACTTGAATTTTTTCCATAGTGCTGTCCTTGTAAGCTGTGTTCAACATCACAACAGTTTCTGTGGCATTTTTCCCAAGCAAAAAACAGAATTTCACAGCTGTATGCTGTTCTCTTAAAACAGCCATCACGACCAGTGGGGAGAGTCATAGAGGCCAGTGGATAGATCTGAGACTATATCTGGTTTTGTTTGTATTTCTCTCCTTCTCTTTTTTCAACCTGTTGTTTACCTATCGTTTGGCCTAGGACGTGCTGGTTTGCCTGCTCATGTAAGACAGACATGGGAAGCAAGCTTGGGGAGAAAGCAAGGGGCCAACAGCCCTGGCGGGTCCTGTGGGGAGGGAAGGGTATGGTGAGCAAACAACACCACAGACCGGAACCGCTAGGGAATTGAAACCAACCACTGGGGGGGTGTAGAGATCCTGTGGGTGTTAGAGCAACACCAATCTGGACGAGAGGAAGTACTAACAGGTGGAAGATGGGGGAACATGAAGGCGGGCAGGAGGAGGCAAAAGGAAACAGGAAGGCTCTAGGAAGCAAAACTATAGGTAGAGGTATTAACAGAGGGGTGTACTTATGTAAATACATTAATCCATAGAAATAGAGGTATTGGCCTATGCACATATATTTATAAGGCAATGCACTGAGGCTGCAGACGGGCCTTGGGCCTCAGCTCATACCCTCCCTCAATACAAGAACACTTTGTTCTAACAAAATGGCATTTTGTGATACCCCCTCACCCCTAATATGATCACTGATCGTGGGGTCTTAAAGGCTTGAAGTTAAACAAGCGGCCATCCAACAGTGAAGCAACAAGCCCACCAGCCAGTGCGATCATGAGGTGTCATTGGGTAACCGGCATCAGAAGACCCATAACAAATACACAAAAACATGTTGGTGAGAATGGGGGGTCAGAGCAGAGACCCTGAAGCCCATCTGTAGACAATGGAACATTCCCCCACAGAGGGGCCGCAGGGAAGGGATGAGTCAATCAGGGTGCAGTAGAACACCGATGGATCATGCAATATACCTTATATACTTGAGTATAAGCTGAGTTTTCCAGCACATTTTTAATGCAGTTCTTATAAAATTAGGTGCCTCGGTTGATATTTGGGTCTGCTTATACTCGCATATATACAGTACCTCTGGTTTCTTGAGGCTTCCTCACCCCTCACTATCATGACCCCAGTGCTGCTTCCCACTGTAGACTGGACCAGAACATGTACATAGTACAGGCAAGACATAAAGCTCACAATACACGGAACCCAGGAACTGGAAAGAAAATAGCAATACTAAAAGGGTAGGAGGGAGGGCAAAGAGTGAACCGATTACAGTGAATGGTACATAACCACACACCCCCATCCACAGGGAACAACAACAGAAACCAGAGGGGAAGGGAAACAGCAGTCGGTGTGAGATATGAAAATAATGACAATCTATAATCTATCAAGGCACCATGAGGATGGGAGGGGGGAGCAAGCTGGTCCCAAGAGCTCAATAGAAAGTAAATGTCTAGGAAACAACAATGGCAATATATGTACAAATCCATACAATTGATGTATGGATTGTAACGAGTTGTAAGAGCCCCCAATAAAATGATCTTAAAAACAAACCAAAAAAAACCCAGCCATCACAAAGAAGTTCGAGCAAAACTGCTTTTACAAAGAAAAAAAAAAAATCGTGACCAGAGAAAGCCTTCCCAGGCTACACCACTGGGTGCACTAACTCAGAACAAGTTGCTCAATCCTTACGTAGCGGGGAAAATGCGTACTACAAAAGCCTCGCCCAGCGGAGCTTTTTTCCAGTTTTGGGGGGGTATCCCCTTGTATTTTCAAGCTTTATTAAAATGTTTGTATATATGAGAGTGTGTAAAAAAGGAATGCTAGTTGCATCATACATATGTTCATAATTCATACGTTTACTCCAAACAAAATAAGTTGAATATGTGTCCCTAATCAGTGGGTGGCTGAAGATAATGTTCTCTCAGGAATACACCTGACTTAGTCTTATTAGGATATCTTAAAAAGGGGGTGTGTGTGTGGAGAGGTCCAGTCAAAAGTGTGGCTTCCCAAGGGATCTGCTAGGCCAGTTAAATTCAAGGCAGACCCACCACACCAAGGCAAAACACTAAGGGTGTGCATGGAACACAACAGCAAGGGGAACAGCAACGAAGTCCCCAGGGAATACCAAAAATAGACTGGGGCCATGGCTTCACACCCCATCAGACTCGACTGGAAAACACTCCTGAAGGTCAACAAACAGTCCTTGAACTAACTACAAGCTTTTCTTTCTTGTGTTTTGTTTTGGTCATTGGCTTGTTTTATTTTGTTGCTTTGCTTTGCTCTGTCTTGTTTTTGTGCATGTTATTATCTTCACAGGTCTGTCCAAATAAGATAGGCTGGATGAACAATCTGGAGGAGAAAGCAACAGGACCGACAGTTCTGGGGGGACACAGGAAAGGGGGAGGTGGGGGAAAGGAAGTGGTGTTAACAAATCCAGGGACAAGGGAATAACAAGTGATCCAAATCGGTAGTGAGGTGCATGTGGGAGGCCTGGTAGGGCGAGACCAAGGGTAATGTAACCAAGAGGAATTACTGAAACCCAAATGAAGGCTGAACATAATGGGACAAAAGGAAAGTAAAAGGAAATAGAGGAAAGAGCTAGGAGGTAAAGGGCATTTAAAGCGGTCTAAATAAAGGCATGTACATATCAAATATATGAAGATGTGGAAATAGATCTATGTGCATTTATGTATAGGCTTAGTATTAAGGTAGCAGAAGGACATTGGGCCTCCACTCAAGTACTCCCTCAATGCAAGAAAAACCTTGTTCTGTTAAACTGGCATTCCATAATGCTCACTTGCTGACACAATCGCTGAAGACAAAGCGGGTGCATAAGCAAATGTGAAGAAAACTGATGGTGCCCAGCTATCAAAAGATACAACATCTGGGTCTTAAAGGCTTGAAGGTAAAGAAGCAGCCATCTAGCTCAGAAGCAACAAAGCCCACATAGAAGAAGCGCACCAGCCTGCATGATCATGAGGTGCTGAAGGGATCAGTTATCAGGCATCAAAGAACA